TGATTACTAACGATATATAACAAAAATTTGTTAAATTTTTTTAAAGTTTAATATTAATTTTCTCAATAACTATCAATCCAAATCGGCTCAAATTTTTACCATATATAGTATATATATTCAACTATAACATAGTAAATTTTAGCTAATTTGAATTAGTAGTTCTTGAGAAATCATTTGATAATGATAGTTAATTTTTTAAAAAAATTAACTATCATTAACAAGCAATTTCTTAAGAACTACTAATTCAAATTGGCTAAAATTTTACTATGTTATAGTTGAATATATATACTATATGTGGTAAAAATTTGAGCTGTTTAGATCAATAGTTATTGAGAAAATTAATGTTAAACTTTAAAAATTAGTCAAATTTTATAAAATTGTTATTAATCGATAGTAATTATAATCGTTATATATCAATAATCGTTATTTATCGTTAGTGATATATATTGATATATAGCAGTTAATTAATATATATTATTAATTTTTAATCGATATATATCGATTAACTGCTATATATTGATATATATCTGCTTAAAAATTTTGCTGATAAACCCAGCTTTTACAAAAAATTTTATATATAAAAACATATAAAATTTTTTATAGATTTTTTAGAAAAACTTACTTAGATAATAAATATACTTAAAATTTTTTTTAAAGTTTTGTAAAATTTGATCTGGCTAGTTACAAGAATCAATTTATTAAGTTTGTATATCCTTAATAAAATAAAAAAATTTTTTATAAGTTTTCAAATTTTAATCTAATCAGATTATAAAAATTAATAAATTAATTTTGCTAAACATCACCATAGATAATTATTACTGTTTATATATTTGATCAATCAAATTATAGAATCTTGTATAACCAAAACAATAGCAAAACTAAGCAAAAAATTAAAAAATATCAATAACAAGTTATTTTACTATGGCAATAAATCTTTGTATGCTAATTAAAAGTTTTTAGTACAAAATTTTATATATAATTTATCCTTTTTATTTTAATTCTGTTAAACCCTAGTTCTAAATTTTAATTCTTTAATTGATGATTCATTATTAAACCCAAAAGAGCTTATAGTGTAACATGATGCAGTTTATATATAGAAATTAGAGTTTTTGGAATGTGAGCTGCTTCTATCTAAAACTTTTTTTCATACTAAGTTAATCACTTTTGGGCCTCTAATTGAAGATATAGAACTTATTGAGACAAATCTAATAATAGATCATAAAATATCTTCAAAAAACATTTTAATAACTATTAAATTTCTCTTTTAACAATACTATTGCTAAAAGAGAAGTTTATATAGCTTAACTATGATTTTTGAGCTGAGCCAACAGAGCTAATATGAGCCAGCTCAAGCCTAATCATATGATGTTAGTGTTTTTATGAACTGAACTGAACTGAACTTTTGGCTAAGTTCAAGTTCAGTTCAAAATTGAACTGAACTTGAACTTGAACTTTTTTTAAAAAAAGTTTAGTTCAGGTTCAATAATTGAACTTTTAAGTCAAGTTCAGGTTCAGTTCAAAAGTTCATGAACATGTTCAAGTTCAATGAATTACAGTCAACTCTCTCTAAGTACAATTTATTGAGACCAGACTTTTAGCAACATGCATTTTGAAAACAATTAAGAAAAATTGCATTTATAGAGAATTTATAGAAACCAAATATATATTTGGGCCCAAAGTTAAAGTTGCATTTAGAGAGAAGTTGCACTTAGAGAGGTTGCACTTAGAGAGAGTTGACTGTATATACTTGACCTCTATAAATGCATTTTTTCATATAATTCTCTAAATGGCATCATTAAAGTGTGGTCCCAAGTGCATGCAATTAGAGAGATCTGACTATAATACGAAAAAATATGGTATAAAACTCAGAATCAATAAATGATATAATTGACATATTTTTTGTAGTATGTATAGAGTGGAAAGAATTAGAAAATTTAAATTGGCTGATTTTAATCAACATTTGAATTAAAAGGGATAGTAATTGAAACTAAATTTCAAGGGTCAAATTGAAGAAAGAAAATAAAGATGTTTTTAATGGATCTTTCAAAAAGTTATTCCAGATTGGATTTGAAAGTTACAGTGTTTCAATAACAATATTATGCTAAAAAAACTAGCTTTAAGACTCTCAATATGTTTCTAAAAAAAAAAAGGTAAATTATTTCAAGGGCATGCGCTGATATGTAAACCTACTACAAATTAAAAAAATAAACATTAAGAGCTTATTCATTTGATTCAATAATGCATTGAAAACTTATTATTCACAAATCAATACGTTTGTTCGAGAGTTAATTTGTAAGACAGAATTGATACAATAGTTTGCACCAGAGTAAGTATCAAGATAATAGTAGCAGAAATATTAACAATTCTTATCCACACATTTCCTCCTGAAATTATATATAACTGCAAAATAGTATTGTTTTTCAATGCTTCCACGGTTGACACAAGACTTTCAACAGTTTTAGTGCCTTCAAGAGTTGAATTATAATGACTTACTTCAGAAATTTTGCACATAATATCGTGAAATCTTGCAAAATTCATTGGCCCACTATAAATCATGCCAAGCTGATATGCAAGATAGAAATCTTCTTTGCTTTTGATTGCACCCGTATAAAAGCAAGTTACAGTACCAACTATCGGTTCGCATTTTGATCTCATCTCAAGCATTACAATATTCCACAAAGTTTCAATCCAATGTGGATGTATGTAAAGCTTCGTGATTGTCACTGTTTTTTTATTCTTATCAAACTTAAATTCGAGTCGGTAGTCCTCTGAAGGAATGAACTTAATAGTATTTCTATGCATTTCTGTTAAACTTGGCAAAATGGCAGGATCAAACCGATGTGATGCATGCTGTTTAGTCGTATCATCACCACCCACATTTCGATAAAGCAATTGAGCAAATGACATATCTACATCTAACGATTTTATCCCGAATGTCGTGTGATTAGTGCCAAAGGGTGTCAAGTTACTTGCTATGGAATTGATCATAATATGAAGTGTGGTTTTGTTGTCTATTACATTATTATTAATCCTTTTATTATATTCTTCAAAAAAGTTGGTATCATCTAAAAATCCTAAATGCTTTATTATTTGAAATAATTTAACTTGGTTACCAGCTCTAGAAAATATTCCAGCATTTAATACTGATGTATTGATGCCAGATAATTTATATGGCCTTAAGTCAATCATTCCATATTCGTCGGAATTAATAATTTCTGTAGAGAATGCGGCAAATAATTTTGCTAATTTGGATATGTCTAATGATAAATGTTCAATTATCTGATCCTCTAATCTATCCATGTCATCATCATTGTTTATGTTCTCGTTACTGCCAATTGTGTTAATAATATGTACTTCAAATATTTTTGACATTTTAATCATAATCTTGTCAAATTTATCTGGATCAAATTTATCTTTACCTATTATTTTGTGCAAGAATTTACAAGTCAACTGTCGTATATCAACTACATCGTATTTGTTTTCTTTAACAAACGGATAATTATCAAAACTAAAATCGCCAAAAATCTTTTCCTCAACAGTTTCTTCAAATATGTCTCTTTCCATTTTGTCAAAAATTTATCATGTTGATTGGTTTGTTTGAGAGAAAATATATTTATAGTTAAATTCCGCCGCATAGCCTTATCATATGTTGCGTGCATACACGCGTACTTATATACTGTACTTGTATAAACATGACACAATAAGGCTTATTATAAACCTAAACATTGCGATCTGTATGAGCATACCCAAGCTTACAAAATGCTCTTGCTACGTTGCTTCGATTGTCATAACACAAAGACAAATTTCTAGTGCTAATGCTTAAATTAGTGATAAAGACCGTTTTTATTTGTAAAAATTCTTTCTATGCGTACAATTCATTAGATAAGCCGAGTAGTATTTGAATGTCCAAATATTGATATTCAATTAAGACTGATATAATTTGAATATATTCTT